TTATTGGTGAAGACAATAAATTCCAAGCCTAATCCCTCCAAGGAGCCTTCCTTCCAGGCAGCTTCTCTGGGGTCCCCCTTCCCAACCCATAGTCTTCTTCTGGTAGTTTAAAGAATAACAAGGGTTTCATTTTGTGTGGCATAACGTTTGTCTCTCCTGTAGACTTGGAGCCCACTTTTTCAGATGCATGAGGTGTTCACCTCAGTTTGGATGTGTAGGTGTGTGCTTCTGGTACGTTTAGGTGCACACCCACACGAGTACACATGGATGTAAATGTGACAAGATAGGATGAATAAACAAATACCTTTTTTAGTCTTTAAAGCACCCCAAGATTGCTGTGTTTTGATAACAGCAGATTAGCGGCATGAAACTATATTTGTCTAGTCAGAAGACTGTTCCATTTGTTGCTGAATATAGGCATCTAACCTGACATGATTATCTTTCAGAATTTTTTTTATAAAGACAGGCATTGAAGAGTGCTGGATGCATTAGTTGAGGGCACTGTAATGTAAATTATTTTGTTTGTAGTCCTGATCCAAAAAGGAGAAAGAGAGGCTGCTCGCTTTCTTTTTATTTCTACAAAGAAGTAATCTGTTTGGTTAAAAATATGAGCAGTCTCAGTAGTTACCTCCAAAGCCCTCTAGCAACAGTTTCCATTTTAACTGTTCTACTTTTAATCCAATAAGCATATTTTATTAGTACTGTATAGTAAATTTTTTGGTTAGGACCATAGTTCCCAACCTTGGGTAATCCAGGTGTTCTTGGACTAGCCAGGGTTACTGGGAACTGCAGTCCAAAAACACCTGGGTTATCCAGTCTTGGGAACCACGGAGTTAGGATATCAAAAACTAATTGGGTTAGTAACATAATAGGATTTTCTTAGAACCCCTGTTAAAGACAAGGTCTCTTTAGCTAGGTTAAGGTCCAGCTAGTCTGGCAACCTATTCCACAAATACTAGTGAGATATTTCTAGAAAACCTGCAGTGTAAAAGCAATTTGTGAACTTCTGCACTTTGAGAGCAGAGGAGTTGTGTGGTGAAAATGCCCTTATGTCAAGATTTAAAAGCTGATAGAACTAGTCTTAGTGATCTGAAGAATATTCACCGGACTAAAGAAATGTGGTCCATAGGAAAGAAATTTACTCTCCTAGAATAAAAATACAGTTGCACTCATACAGACCCATCTTGTGTGTCATGATAGACCAAGATTCCAGAGCTTATTAATTCACAACACAGTGTGGTGACGTAAGGTACCCAGTTGTTCTGGCTTGCAGCAGGAGTGGCTTAAACAAGCAATATCCTTTGGTTTGTTTATTGTGAAATCTAATAAGCCATGATGGGGGATGTATAATCTCTAGACTTAAAAGGAATGCACCTCAAAATGTCAGATGCAGGGGAGGGGTATCAGGAGACAGGTATCTAGAAGCATCTGGTGGGGTCACTGTGAGATAAAGGAGGGACTAGATGGGCCTTTGGCCTGATCCAGCAGGGCTCTTTTATGTTCTCATGTAAAGTGCAACAGAAAGGGCAGTCCTTGTCTTCTCCAAAACAAAGAAGAGCCACATTAAGTTGCTTGGAACTGTTTCTTCTGTCCTCTCCTGCCACAAGGAGAAGAAAGAAGAAAGATCTGAAGCTAAACGTTATTCCTGCTAGGCCTTTTCTCACTCTTCTCTCCTGTGAGAAAAATGATAAAAGGCTGAACTCCCAACCATACAATGAGAATCTGCCTTTATGCAGGTCATGGCGGGGCCAGCAGGAACAATCCTGCTGCCTGCTGTCCTCACATTCACACCTATCCATGTCAGATAAACAACACTACTTGACTATATTTCATACATCTGCCTTTCAAACTTTGAAAGTTGTCACAGCTCTCCTCTTGCTAATTACATCTTCAGATCTGAAATGTCCTGCTAGGTACTGCTGCCCTTAAGCAGCTTGCATGGATGTACTTATAATGAATTAAACTAGGCTATGTAATAGCAGTAATGTGATTTTTCTATAGTCTGCACCACTGAGGAAGCAAACAAGTTGAACCAAGAGGTAGATTTTTAATTTGCTTTCTGCAATAACACAAGCATACTTATTTTAATAGACTATAGAAAAATTCCATCTTTTTTCGTAAATATATTGAGGGAGATTGTCACCAATGCCTACCTGAAGATGATCAGCACTGAAAATAAACCGTACCATAGATATTTAAGATAAGTACCTTGAAAAAGAGTTTAATCCAGTGCCATCTCCTCATGTATGGGTGCATATAGCTTAACTGTTGTTCACATTTATTTATTTATTTATTTA